TCTTACTATCATTTAAGGAATCAATCATATTAATTATGTCTCAATAAATGTTAAATATTGCATATTTTTTCTTTATGAAAATTGTGTGATTTTATGTAGTATGATTTGACTTGCTTTTTGACTTATAATGTAATTTTCAAAATAATAATAAAAGAATTCTATCTCTTTTTTTTAAGAGTTCTGGTTATCTGTAAATAGCTTTTGGCACATAATTTTTTCATAACAAACTTAATGAAAACAAAAAACAAACAAAAAGTATATAGAAGAAAAACTGTAACTTACAGCCACATAAGAATAACTAGCCTTGGACTTGCCTTCCCACCACATTAAACTAAACAAAATATGTGAAATAATTGTTCTCAAATATCGGACAGCAGGTAGTTTAGGACCACAATGCCCTAAAAAGGGAAACAAGCCATTTGAGCCCTATAATCACCTGGCTTTCTACCTATAAACCACAGAGATTCATTTTTTACAGTTCTTTGTTATAAACAACAGAGATTCATTTTTTACATTTCCAAAGACTGGAAAGTACAAGATTGAGGGTCCCAGAGCTGGCAAGGGAGATCTTGCTGTGCCATCCCATGGCAGAGGCAGAAGGACGAGAGCATATGTGGGAGAGAGTGAAGAAGGGCCGCAAACTCATCCTTTTATCAGGACTTTACTCCCACAATAACAGCATTAATCCACCAATGAGCTCTCATGACCTAAGAAACTCTTGAAGGTTCCACCTTGCAATACCATTGCACTGACCGTTCAGTTTCTAATATATGGACCTCAGGGGACACGTTCATCATAGCACCTACATTTCAGGGAGTGAAAACCCAGTGACAGCACAATGATCTTATTGTGTTGAGGACAAAGATACCAAAGTCTAAAGAGTGGTTGTACATTTAAAGTAAGAACAGAAAAAAGGACTGCAGAGAGAAAGAAATCTAGTTATCTACAGAGTGCGCCTCACGAGCAAGCTTTGTTGAAGACCAAAACACTGAAGTGAATAGCAAAACTCCATGAGGAGGATCAAAGAACAGCTGAGCATGTGTAGGCTAAATAATTTCCAGAACTCATGTGTTATGCATGTATACATTATATATATGTTCGTATATAATATTTATTCTTTTGTTAATGCTCCTCTGAAAGGTCTTCCTAAAATGTTTATTTAAAATAGGTACAATTGCCAGGCACAGTGGCTTGTGCCTATAATTGCAGCTACTCAGGAGTCAGTGGCAGGAGGATCTCTGGAGACCAAAAGTTACAAGTTGCGGTGAGTTATGATTGCACCACTGCACTCAGCCTGGGCAACAGAGCGAGATCCTGTTTCAAACTAAATAAATAAATAAATAATAAATAAATAAAATAGCCATAATTATTGAAAGTTGGTGGACTCCATATTTGGGTCCCCTTCCACGAACACTCTCTCATGGAAGCTGCTTTTCCTCTCCTAAACTCCATCTCTCTCTCTCTCAGTTCCCTTCCCCTCATTGTGGAAGCTGTCTTTTCTCTCCTGGACCCCATCTTTCTGGATTCTCTCACTCAGCATGAGAGGAGCTTTCCTTATCTGATGTTACCCCTCTGGGAACCCTTCTCACTCAGTGTAAGAGCAGCTTTTTTTTTCCCTCACTCCGTGTGAGTTAGCTGTTTCTCTCTCCTTCTCCTTGTTCTCTCTCTAAATAAATCACTTTCTACAAAAAGAAAAAAAATGAAAGTTGGCTCCATGTGTTTATAAAATTCTATGTCCTAAAATACAATAAAAACACTCATTTTCTTCTATCTGTACTTTTATATATTAATTTTAATTTTTAATCTGTAGAAAAAAATTATACTGTGATTCGATATCAGTATATATTACTACTATATAGAATAAAATCCTTTGCATATAATTGTTGGTTATTTGCATCTTTTCATTTTGTAAATTGTGTATATTATAGAGATTATCTTTTCTTAACTTTTATTTTATGCTCGGGGGGTACAAATGCAGGTTTGTTACATAGGTAAATTTGTGTCACAGGGGTTTGTAGTACAGATAATTGTATCACTAGTATCAATGTTTTAAAAAGTGAAGGGAGTTAAAGAGGGGGGGATTCTTTCATCCCTCAGTAGCTGCGACCAAATAAGGTATGGTACTTGGCAGCGTCTTGCCACAGATACATTTGGCTCCAGGCTGCAGTTCACAGAGTGGTTTGAAGGGGACGCAAAGGCTTTTAGCTCCCATGGATCACTTTCAAGATCTTGATCCCCAGCAGTAGTCCTTTTGATCCACCCAGGTATTAAGCTTAGTACTCATTAGTTATTTTTTCTGGTCCTCTTTCTCCTCCCACCTTCCACCCTCCAAAAGGCCCAGTGTGTGTTGTTCCCCTTTTAAAAATAGCTGATATATAATAATTAACTTTTTATGGTCCAGAGCTTTCTTTTAGTCCCATGTAATTGACTTTTGCCATGGAGGAAAGAGTTAACATTTTCATAAAATAAAGTCAATCAATAACCTAGTGATTGGATTTTACATTTTCAGTAGGCAGGTCACTCCTAGACTTTTAGCATTGTTAATATTTATCTTCTTATTTTTATATATTTATTACCCCTGAAAATCATGGTTGTTACTGAAAGAAAAAAATATATTTTTACACACACAAAGCAGCATATATAAACACACATGAACATATATGCACTTTCTCAAAATGCTAGAGAGTTCTTACAACACTATTTACCAAAATGTCCGTCCTTTTTTCCCTTGGAATATCTTTATTAATTAATTTAATTATCTGTCCTATGATAGTGGCATAGTTTTGCATCTCTCATTTCATTTCACTGTTTCAATTTTTAATTCATTTCTAATATGTATATAGTAAAGTGCACTGTGTTACATATACCACTTAGTGAATTTTTATATGTATACACCCATACGACCATTAACTGGATCAAAATACAAAACATTTCCTCCACCCAGAAGATTCTATTGTGCCCTTTCTTGTTCAATATCCTCCCGCCCAGAGATACTGCTATTCTTACATTTATTAGTGATTAGTTCGTTCCTTTTTAAAAACTCTCCATAACTCTATATAAATAACATATGAAGTGCATATTTTATACCAATATGCATGTTGGTTCGTTTTTGATACATAATTTTTTTGAATTTAAATCCAGTGTTTCAAACTGCTGAAATGAATACATTGGTGCCCATTTGCACAATAAGTTAATAATTATAAAATGCTATACAAAATATCACAGCCTCCATCATTCTAGAGAACTAACTTGTATCAAGAATCAGAATTGTGTACAGGACTAAACACAAGTTTTCAATCCTGCACAATTTCACCAAGAATCTTTCAGTTTTAACTTTCTAAAAGTGGATTTAATTTAGAATGACTGCGGTAGAAATTAAAATATTTAACCTTTAAGTTTGCTAATCAATTAAATGGGATAATTTATGCAAATAATGAGCAGAGGCCCAACCTATATCTCAGTAAAAATGGAATCATTTCCTTCTTATTTTCATTTTTTGTTTGTTTGGAGATGGAGTCTTGCTCTGTCGCCCAGGCTGGAGTGCAATGGCGAGATCTTAGCTGACTGCAACCTCCACCTCCCAGGTTCAAGCGATTCTCCTGCCTTGGCCTCTGCAGTAGCTGGGACAACAGGCACACACCACCACATCCAGCTAACTTTTGTATTTTTTAGTAGCCATCGGGTTTCACCATGTTGACCAGGATGGCCTCAATTTCCTAATCACTTGATCTGCTCTCTTCGGCCTCCCAAAGTGCTGGGATTACAGGCTTGAGCCACTGCACCTGGCCAACATTTATTTTCATTTTTTACCAGAGGAATGATCACCAACTTCTCTGCCCAGTCACTGGTTGGGCAAGTCTCGTTGGAACTGCTAATGGATTGACTTTTTCACTCAGGAAGGAAGAAATAGATAGCAATACACTGTTTTTACTTCTGTTTGCTTTCAGAAAGCCTGCACTTGGGGGTGGAGGACTTAATGGCTAGTCTTATATTGATCTACAAAGTGTGATCCCTAGGTTGATCATTGGTCATTCTTACATTTAAGAGTAGTGAATGAACGAATAGGTACTATTATTTGTTTATATTTCATTCTCATTGCTTTGTCATAATTAATGACTAATAATAATATTTAATAAGTAGATTAAAGATGAGAAAGTATCACAGAGAGCTTCACAGAAAGTCAACTACCAGAATTAAGCCCATATTACCAGAATACATTTGGGCCAGAAATGTGGTTTGCAAGATGTTATTCTATCCAAGTCACCACTTTTAAAAATAGCAACAGAAATTCTGCCACAAGATGATAAGAGTTAGAAAAACTCAAAAGAGTCACTTAGACCTCTAAATGAGGTAATCTTTGCTGTGGAAACACAGGATTTTCAAGCATACCAACCAGTTGCATATAGAGGATTGTTATCTATAAGAGTGAGTGAAAAGTGGTCAGAGTACCCAATGCAGGGCTGGAATTATATCAGTACAGAAGCACATGTCTAAATGCAGAACGTAAGGAGAGACAAAATTGCAGTAGAAAGTAGTTGGGTGGGTAATAGTGCTACTAGTTTGCCAATTACCTAGGTCAAACATTGAATTTTTCTAAAATGAAACTTGCATTAGATCAATATAGAGAACAGTATTCTGGAAACTGCACTTGAAAATACTTTTATACAAACATTATTGGAAAAACATTAGTCATGCCTTGCCTGTTTTGTCACATCACTAACTAAAATAGCCACACGTAGTAATTTCACTCTCTCTCCTTCTATTTCTGCCTTTCTCTCTTTCTGTCTTTCACACACAATATACAAATACACAAATGATAAAGAGAAATGAATATATATGATAAGCAATATATTGTTAAAATGATATTTATTAAAATGCAAATTCATAAGTTTTCCTGCATGGAAATTGTTAATATTATAATAGATCTAAACAAACCATATAAAAATAACAAAATATCAAGGATTGTCCCACTAACTGGTGGGAAATTGCACCAATCCAATGCAACTATGACCTGTGATCATCAATAATTACATTTGGTTGAAACTGGAGAGACAATAATGAATCTATAAATAACCCTGTTGATGCAATTAGTGCATCACAAGAAAATGACTCGAAGTGATTGCCAATCAGAATTTCTTTGGAGTCAGTAGGTATCTTCCACAGGAGCATGGAAAGTTGCAGGCATATCTATAGTCACCATATTCAGAGCTGTAGCTGCAGCCACAGCCCAGGCTACCATAAGGGTTGTGGTAGTAGCACATGGTGTCAGGAGTGGGAAGTTCAATTGAGGCAGATAGTGGCTTCTGAAATTTGACTCTCCTGATTTGTGCAAATTATTTTATACAACTGATTTATATGTGAAGCAAATCACAATCTACATTAGAATCATTCTCACAGCTAATTTGCATTAAGATAACAAAAATGTCAAGAATCTCTTAGCCATATGTCCAAGAAAATATTAATATTGCTATGTGTCAGGATGCCAACAAGTAAAATCATGAGCCTGAAGGAGACACTCTCTTAATTTTGTGGCTTTTGCTTACTTAATATCCCAAATTTAAACTTGATGATTAGCTTTTGTGTGATCACATAAAGCTTCTATTTCCTGCCTCTTTAAACAATTCTTTTTTCTTTTTCAATATCCTCCTCTACCTGCAGAAATGGAGTCTTGAAGCCAGCGAGGCCAGGAATGATTAGGGAAGGGTGGCTGTGTAGTGAGTAAGCAGATGAAATGTCTACATTTACTTGCAAATATGTCTGTATGTTTTTGATTAATTTATTTCTTAATCAATAGGGCTAAAAATTTTCTTCCAAAATTTTTTTCCTCTTCGATCATCCTCGCTTTGGTTATATCATTAGTTGTGGTATTCTTTTTGCATCTGAGAAAGCTTTTTATTAAGAATTTCCTTTGTGCCAAACCAAGATAGATATGCATACATAGACAAAAACAACAAGTCTGAGAATGCTTCTTGGTGTCTAATTACTGAGGAAAAAAACAAATGAGGTGTTTTTTCCATGTGTATTTTATGCGTAAACCCTTATTCACCCTTTTATCATTTCCCTGTACTTTACCTGGCATCTAAATTCCCTACTGCCTATCAAAATCCAGTTAAGCTTACCATGTTCATGAATAATTTCCTGAGCCTCTGGACTTTCGTTTACCTCCAAGGACTGCTAAATATCTCAAAATGTATTTGTCTACACTCTATTCTCACTGACTTTTAGGTCTCGATCGTCCAGCAGGAATTTACAAACAATTATCCACCACGTGTAAAAATTCATATTTTCATCCAGGCATGGTGGCCCACACCTGTAATCCCAGCACTTTGGGAGGTTGAGGCAGGCGGATCACCTGAGGTCAGGAGTTTGAGAATAGCTTGGCCAACATGGCAAAATCCTGTCTTTACTAAAAATACTATATGTGTATATATATATATATATATATATATATATATATATATACACACACACACACACACACACACACACACACACATATATATGGCCAGGCATGGTGTCAGGCACTTGTAATCCCAGCTACTTGGGAGGCTGAGGCAGGAGAATCACTTGAGATTCACCCAAGGAAGGACTCACTTCCAAGCTCATGTATTTGTTGGAAAAAATCAGTTTCTTATGGTTGAATAATTGAAAGTCTCAGCCTGACTGTTGGCTGGTGTCTTTGCATGCTCTCTTCTAGAGAATTTAAGAGACTGCCTTAGTTTCCTACCATGTGGGTTGCCAAATATGGTCACTTGCTTTCTCAAATCAAAGAATAGAGAGAGAGCCCAACAAGATGGGTGCTGCAATCTTTTGTGGCAATGACATACAATCGTGTGTGTGTGTGTATGCATATTCAGTCACCTTTACTATATGCTATTTGGTTGAACCAAGTCACAGGCCTTGCTCACACTCAAGAAGAGATCACAAAAGGGCACTGAACATCAACAAATGGAAATCATGGAGACACCTTAATGGTCTGCTCACCACTGATAAATGTTGTACATCCTTCATCCTTCATCACAGAAATTATAAAGTTTTCCTTTGTCTGCAGCGCATTGGAAAAATTTATAGAATGTAGAGATCAGTCTTTCTCTTAAGATTTGATAAACAGTAGATTTTCCTCAGAAATATTGATCTGAGGCACTTTTACAGGATATTTCATTAATAATTTTCTGTATTTCTTCTAAGGAAATTAGTCCCTTTGTCAATTTCCAAATCCAGGGTTATCAGCTTTGATAATCTGTATTCCCCTAGAGCTTTGTTATAACTAGGTTTTCAAATTTATGTTTATAAATATCTGTGAACTGGTCTCACATAATTTTAGAAATTCTTCTGTTTCAATATTTGTTTCTTGATCAAATGTTTTGTTTTGTATGTACTTTTCTTTTTTCTTAACAACATTAGCAAGTGGTTTATAAAGGTTAATTATTTCATATAACAGAGTTTGGAATCATCATAAAGTGTATTTTTGTTTGTTTTTATTCTCTTCATCAATAATTTCTGCTTTTCTGTTTATAATTCCTTCCTTACACTTTGGCTTACTTAGTTGTTCTTAATGAGGCTTTTCAAAACTGAGATATTATTAATAATTAATGTTATTTCTTTCATTTTTTACAAATAAAATGTTTAGTGTATAAATTTTTATCTAATTACTATTTTAATTTTTAAATAGATTTCTTTAAGTACATTTTTGTTACCATTATTTATCTTAAAATACTGTAATTTCATATTATATTTTCTTTCTCACCTACCTAAGTGTTGTTTAAGCAAATATTTACTTTCCAGGTGAAGAGATTTTTCTGTTCTTTGCTTTCGTTAGCAGCTTCTAGCTTCACTGCATAGCAGTAAGAGAGTATTCACAGTATTTCTACTTTTAAAACTTACTATTTAAAAAAAAATTGTGACCTAATATAGGATGAATTTTCTTCTATATTCTGTAGGGACCTGAGAAAAGGTATTTTTCTCTATCAGTGTAGAGGTGGCTATATATTGACAAAGCTACTTTATTAATCATATCGTTTGGGTATTTGCCTCATTTTTTTTCTTGATATGTTGTACTCTACGAGTTGTGTATTCAAGTCTCCTTTATTTTGTGTTTTCATCTAGCATCTTTTTGCATTACTTAATGAAGATACATTCTCAGAAACATGTCCTTAGGTAATTTCATCACCCTGTAAATGCCATAGAGTGCCACCTACACAAACCTGGATGATGTAGCCTACCACATCTATGCTATATGGTATAGCCTATCATTCCTAGACTACAAACCTGTATGGTATTTTACTGTATGTATTAAATACCTGAGGCAAATGTAACACAGTGGTGAGTATATTTGTGCATCTGCACATATCTAAACAGAAAAAGGTACATTCAAAATACAGTATTATAATCTTCTGGGACCACCATCATATATACAGCCTGAGGTTGACTGAAGTATCATTATACAGCATACAACTGTGTGTATAAGTGTGTTTGTATATATGCATATCCTTCATAATGATGTTTTCCCCATTTGGGTACGTAAATAAAATACTCATAAGTGTAATGTATCTGGTAATTGTGGCTGTCAGGATGAAAATGTGTCCTTTATCAATTTGTTACTTTTTGGCCTAGGTTTTATTTTGTCTAATATCAAGATTGTAACTCACATACATAATTTTGTTGTATCTTTTTGACCAAATACATCGTTCGTGGTTTGTTTGCTTTGTTTCATTTTAGCTTTTCAGAATCACTTGTTTTAGTACAACAACGATTCAGCCTTGGTATATGAGCCAAATCAAAATGTTTTGTTTTGATAGGTTAATTAAGCCCATTCATATGTGGCCAATACATCTGGTCATATTCTTTATGACTTAACACATTAAAAATAATTTTGAGATTTTTTTCTAGTAGTTACTTAGTACTTACACCAATTCTACTCCTCCCAGTCCTTTGTTTTTTTATTTAACTTCTTATAATTTGATATAACTGCTCATTTTCATATTCATTAACTCCCACTACTTTTTACACAATCAGTACTAACTTATTGCTTATTTTCTCCTCTTTCACTCTCTCTTTTCTTTTAGTAAGATTATTATTACTTTGTCACAATATATATTATTCATATATTAGTCTTACGTGCTGTCTAAATTTTATTCACTACCAGAGATTTGTTATAGTTCTCTTATTCATTCATTGATTAAAATGTCTTACAGTAGTTTGCTCAAGTTGAGTCTGTAGATACAGAACCCCCTAGTTTCTTATATATTGAAAGTTTAACACATCACTACTAGTAAGCAGCATTAAGCATAGCTTTACAAAATATAAAATTCTTAGTTCATGATATCTTTCACTGTCTTTTAAAATACTTTTGTGTTTTGCCTTTATATGAATGTTTCTTCAACAATACTGATTCCCAACCTAATTCTTTCCCTTTGTATATCATTTGATTTTGGTTTTGGCCTAGAGTTATGGAGAGAAATCCTTTTTAATCTTATAAATGTGATGTCTTAATTAACCATAATATGTTAGTGTTCATTCTGGGTTGAGAGTCTCAGGGAACTACAGCCATGTCAATGAGTAATTCCAGCTTTTTTTTTTTTTTCCTCTCCTGGAAATTTTTCTTAATTGTAGTTTTAAATATTCTAGTTTTCTTCTTCATTTTGAGTTTCTTCTGTCTTGCTTTTCTTCTACAAGAATTTCAATAATATAAATGTTATTATTTTCTTTATCAGTCATTCATTCCAAATGCTTTATCTCTATTTCTTATTTTTATATTTTTTTCCTGTTATGTTCTTAGAGTTGCCTCCCTGCACTTTTGAAATCTCAATTATTAAAAAGATTATTAAATCTTTATGTAAGTTTATTGTCCCTTGGGGAACTTATAATTTATTTTTCATATATGAGATAATGTCTTCTTCATTTGTTTATTTCCTGAGTTCAGTCAACTGTCTTTTCATTTGTGTTATTTATTTTCTATTTCTGTTTCTGTTTTCAGCTTTTGAATTTCTAAATCAAGGTCATTGTTCAATTTCTCTCCAACATGGGAGAAATTAAACAATGACCTTGATCATTAATTTCAATTGAAGTATTTTCTTCTAGTATTCCTCTAATTTATTGTTGTTTTCCACAGGAAATTATCCTTAGCAATGTCAACCGAATTTCTTTTTCTGATTTTTTTGCATTATCTCTGTGTTCATTGTTCAACCTTTTCATGTGTGTGTGGCAGTTGGATGTGTTACATGAAACCTCATTTAGTGAAGCACTATTCCTTCAGTATATGCCTCAGGTAATTTAGTGA